TAACATTTTTTTTATTTAAACAATTTTTTGACAGATTCCTAAAATTCCTAAAATGTGTTTTCTCTTTATTATGGCAGGTGGTCTAATAAATTGTTAAGCACTGTATGTTTTCATAGCATTCAGTTGGAACGTTTGTTTTAAGGACATTGGGCAGAATGTGGAATAGTGTGTTTTTGTCAATAAAATAAAAAAAGAAAATTGTTTGTTTTTAATCCGATTAATCGAAAAAACAATCGACCAACTAATCGATTATCAAAATAATCGTTAGTTGCAGCCCTACCTCCGACATTTTTCTTTACAAATCCTCAGTTTGTACTTGTACTAATTCATGAACAGCGTTTTGTTCTCTCTCCGCGTTCGTCACTGATCACGCAACGCCGATGTCTTATGTCATCCACCAGGAACGCCTTCCGCGTATAAAAGATAACGGAAGTGAGAGAAAAGTGTTTATTACGTTTGAAATATTGATATTTTTCTTACAAAAACACATGGATTCGCTACAGGAGGCCTCTATTCACCCCCGGAGCCGTGTGAAGTACGTTTATTATGAATGCGTGTGCTTTATTTGACGACTTGTGGACTGACTAAACTGCAACACCCGCTGACTGCAATGATAGAGCTTGGAATAGCCAGGACAATTTTAATATAACTCCGACTGGATTCGTCTGAAAGAAGAAGGTCATATACACCTAGGATGCCTCGAGGGTGAGTAAAACACAAGCTAATTTTCATTTTTGGGTGAACTAACCCTTTAAGAAGTGTTTCTTATTATCAATGTTGAAAACAGCTGCGATTCTTAACATTTTAGTGGAAATCGTGATACTTTTTTTCAGGATTCTTTGAACAGAAAGTTCAAAAGAACAGCATTTATTTAAATTTAAAATATTTTATAACATTATAAATGTCTTTAGTGTCACTTTAGATCAGTTTAATGCATCCTTGCTGAATAGAAGTATTAATTACTTTCAAAACAAAAAATTTTTATTTTAATTTTTATATATATGGTAGTGTACCCATGTTAGGCTCATGTTCTGACGTTCCAGAAAGTGTTTCTGACTTATTTAACACAATTACACTAGCAACGGTTACTGTTGATTGGTTGTGTTCTGAGAGCGTGATGAACGTGATCGAAAGCGGCACTGAAAATGCTCACATTTTGATGTAATTAGCCACATTCCTCCTCCGTAAGTCACTAATCTAATCCTGAGATCTGTTGACCTTTTTGTAAGTCTCTATTCTTGTGTTTCTACTGAAAAATACAGCCCTTTCATCAGGAAATGCACACACACACACACTGTGTAAGATTTGTGCTTTCTAGACCATTTAATTCAGAATGTAATCCAAAACATTTTGATTCTGCTGTGATGTTATTTATAAGGATTAGGTGTAAAAAATTGCTGTGACTTCATTACTGTTCTTGAAATTAAGTGATTCTGAAATTTGGTCAGTTAAATTTTTTGTACAAATTATAATATTATTAACTATTTAATATATGTATATTGACTAAAACAGCAGATTAGGTTTTTATATTCACAGTTCATGAATTTTAAACTGAATGCATAATACATTTGGTATTATTACAGTAATGATCAACTATTAAAATCCATAATCGGTGTAAAAGCACCAGTGTGCATATTTACACCCCAAATGTTTGAAAGGTTGATTTTAGGATATCAAGTTTTTTTTTTTTTTTTGCAAAAACCTAGCACACAGCAGTACTCATTAAAAGAATCTTACAAAGAAACCCTATTCTACATGTTGCCCATTAACAGATAGACTAGAAAATAATTTTGCTATGTACTCCTGTACTTTTTATCATACTTTTTTCTATATGCAGTAGTAATATTTGTTAGTTCAGACTTCATATGTAGACTGTAGGTTCAGACAAGAAAAGTAACAAACATACATCCGTATGAGTGTATTCTTATTTTGCCTGTGTTTGTGGAAATATTAGTGAATACAGAATGAGTCATTAACAGATCATAATGTTCATTGGTTGGTTCTGTCATTGACATGTTTGCGTTTCAGTAGAGGGAGAGTATCGCCGGTAAATTCCACTTCGTGTTTTTAATCAGTTATGTGTGTTTGTCTGTCTTTTTTGTTCTTTCTTTGTTACTGTTTGGGGTGTGTTATATAGTTTCATCTTTAACAAACCCACAAGCATACACTCTGGTGAGGGGCTATCCCCTCTATAGAGCTTCTCTCTCTCTCTCTCTCTCTCTCACACATACACATACACACTCTCTCTCTCTCTCTCTCTCTCTCTCTCTCTCTCTTCTCTTATTTTTTTTTTTTCTTTTTCCTCTCTCTCTCTCTCTCTCTCTACTTTCAGATTATTGTTTTATGAATTATAGTATTTGATGTCTTCTCCGGCCACATTTGATTTGTAGTGAATATCCTTGACACTTGAAGGATATTCAGCTTAAAATAATCGGATATGTCACAAAGGGAAACATAACCCATTCATAAAAGCTTACTCTGCCTCTGGCAGCCACTTTTCTTGCGTTTTGAATGATTCTGAACACTAACTAACTGTCAAGGCTATTCCCATCACCTGGTCTAACGTCCCCTACTTTCCTTGCACCTTCTCCTGTGGCTTCTACTTAATCTTTCCTTTTCTCTATCCTCCCTCTTTCAGAAAGTACTACCAAATAATCTCTCCCTTTCCTCTGTCCCATCTTTTTCCTCCTCCTTTTGCTTTCCCTTTCCTTCTCTTCCTTCTTGACCCTTACATCCAATGCCAACAGTCCCTCATGTGCTACTCAGCCTCCTGAACAGCGAACCAGGTACCAGGAGATCAACCAGCACCTTTAGCTGAGCCTAAGCCCGTCATCTCAACCTCCTGTGCTTCCTGTCTTCACTGTCTGTCCGTCTTTGTCCTTTCCGTCCCAATCACTTGCATACAGTTGTCTTTTTGTCTGTGCATCACGGCGTGTGAAGCATGGTAAATGGGCATATGTGTTTGTATATGATTATAAGCAGTCTGAGAGAATGTGTTTGTGCACACTGTCCACTACCAACAGATGTCTTATTCTATTCTTTTTAAGATTCACATAGAAACATAACTTTACTTTGCATGCCACATTCTGCATTGTCTGAAGTTGACTATTCATTTTGCTGCAACGGTTAAAATGAATTTGAGCTGGATCCTGACCAGAGGATTCTCTTTCCTTCATGGGAGAATAATGAGTGCAGTGTCCAAGCAGGGCGGTTGTGTCACCTCAGGATTCAGAGATTTACTGATAGAGTGCTGCAGGAATGAATGCTAAAACCCAGGAATGAGTTAGCATTATTGAACTTAGTTCCGTCGTCCCAAAGTCTTTTGAATGGGTTTTTGATTAAATACCTGAAAAGAGGTCTGTGTGGTTAACACAAGCTTAAGATATTTTCATATGATAAATGCGGTAGCTAAATGACATTATAGAGGTTGTTGGGGACGTCATCACGGGTAAACATCATCTACTCACTTGTCCACTTCTGCAGCATCACTCTTGCAAACTCTTCCAACTCAAGCAATCCAACTTGTAGATTTTAAAGATAGAAAGAGTTGTTGAAAGCTTAGTGGTGATGTTGTTTTGCAGTCATGGTGTAGTTCACTAATATGGCCCAACTTTAGCTTTTCTTCTGCAGATTTTATTTAGGCGTCAAAATTCATTAATGTTGCGTATGTTTGTGAAGATTATCTTGATGGGGGAAAAAAGTGTAAGAATCATGAATTTGTGTTGGTCACAGAGCTTATTTTCTGCAATAATCCAAAAGCTGATGGAAAAATCCTATTGGATTTGTCGAGGGAACCAGGGTGATGCTACTTCCAGGTTGTCCTACAAAAATGCGTCATCCCTGCAGCACTCTATTTAGTCCCAAGTATTCAGAAAAGACTTTGCTCTTAGGGTAACTATGGCTGAATCCCAGTTTTCATATTGTTTTCCACTATAATATACAAATACAAAGTCACAAATTGCAGTGCACAAGTAGTGATAGTAGTGTGTCAAAGCGGGCTTTCACACTAGCACTTTTGGTGCACACCTGGGTTTATTTGACGTCAGAGTTCAGATCGTTTGGATAATGTGAACGCTGTTTTCTGAACTCACGTGTGCACTGGCGAACCGTACCAGAGTACAGGGTACAGTTCATGCGAACTCCGGTACGGTTCTTCTGATGTGAAGGCAATCGTACAAAATCACAGAAGTGAACTACTGTTAATGACCCATAAATTAGTCAAACTGTGTATTCATGTTTACTCACTCCCTTTCCTGACAAGCATGACTGACGCGCTGCAAGCAGAGATAATTTATTTCTCATTTCTGCTTGCAGAAATTGACTCCCGTGTTCTTTTGAACCTTTGCATTGCAGTCATAACAAATATATGCATGTGTCGTTCTGTGTTGGTGCCTTAGAGACTAATATAAGTTGAATCAGTCTGAAATACAATATGAAATTCTCTCTCTGTGGCACTATTCAATCAAATGGCCTTTTAATACATAAAATACACCCCATGAATCAGAATTTAATTGAATCTGTTTTGAAATCCATTCACGCTTTTGCTGCAGATCTCTGTCAATGCTGTACGTCCTTTCAGAAGTATGTGAATTGGGATTCAGCTTACTATTCTCCTTAACCATAAACTAAATTGTCAATGTATCTCAGTCAGTCCAGCATTAGTTGAACAGTCAGCAGTGTGCAGATGTGCAGGAGACTTTGAGGAGACTCATTATTCTCCCTTTCCTGGATCTTCATATGTTTTGATCCGAATGCTGAGAGTGCAAAACTGACTATCCTGTGAAGCACATGCCCCTCACTCAGGATCGTGCCAACAGTTATGCCTCAGTCAAAAGCAGCAGCAGCATTAGTGCATACATGTTTTCACCTCCATTCGATTTCTCTCTTCTCTCTCTCAGTGCCCACTGCCAGTATGACCCGATTGGCTCGATCTCGCACTCACTCTGCCTCCAGCATGGGCTCGGCAGACGGCTCCCGCAGCCGCGCACATACCAGTTCACAGATGGAGGGCGCCACCGGCGGCCCAGTCAACGACAACCAGACCAGACCACAAACCATGGAGGTGTCCTGCTAAAGCACCCAGAGCCAAGCCACCATTTCACCTGGGATCATCCGCGTGTTGCCCTTCTGCACCTCAGGTGGCTTTCTGTCTGTTTTGGGGTTTTGTTTCCACTCTGTCTCTCGTTCTACTTGTTCTCTTGTGGCCAGAGAGCGCTGGTCTAATGAAGGGATGCATTGTTTGATGTAATCCGTGTATTTTACATATTTTTCCACTGCATGGAAGCACACTAATCTTTTGCTGATGTTTTTACCTTGATTTTGATTGGCTTACTACTTTATTACTCCATATTTGTGTCATCCTTTGGAGATTCATTTCCACTCTGGATATGCTTCTTGTGTATATATTTTGCTGAAGGCTGTTGTATTTTGAAAATTCAGAGGGTATTCTCGTCTGTAGCCGGAGAGATTTCGTTCCCTCTCTTGCTCTCTCTAAGGTCTTCCTGCCCCATGTTTACTATAGAGATGACCAAACCACTTCACTTTCTCCTTATCTAATTTTTTCTTCAGTACTTCATTTTCTAGACTGATTTCGGTCTCTTTTAGAGGGTTTCTACTGCTCTCAACTTATGCTACCAGCTATCATGGTTTCACATTAATTGACTGTATGCCATTTGTAGTGCTTCTAGAAAAAAAATCTACTGATTAGCATGTCCCTATTTAAAGTGTACAGTAGACATTTATGTTAGTATTAATTCTGTTTAGAGCTTACTGCAAATGTTTAATTCAGTTTGATTGAATTTGATCAATCTGATTCTGTTTACATGGAGAACTTGTACTGAGTTTTAGACCAGAACCCCCCTAATAGCAAAGACTTTGCTTAGGTTTGCACTTAAGTTGATGTAAAATATTTTTCACAGCCTGTGCTTGGGAGATCAGCTACACCAAACAAGCCAGTAACTGAAGCTAAGTTCTGTAGCTTGTTCAAATAACAGTTCAATTTACCATAGAGGGCATCTAGAGGTATAACAGCATTATTCCTCTAAATGCACTGTACAGTAGTAACTGGTAAATGATATGTATGCTTTTGGCTTAAGATTCTCCATTCCTTCTGTACAGCGGGCAATCAACGTTATTGTGTAACGTTGACAAGGAGCTCCAAACCTCAAAGTCGTAATCTTGAATCTTGAATCAAAGTCGGAATCATCTTGAAAAGTGTGCGCATGCATAGACGCCTTGCTTCAAAGGGCATTTCAAAGATATTTTTGTTGTGAAATGTGTTTGCTGTGATTCTTGAAATGCGTTTGGTATGATACTTTCTAGCAACAAGTTTATAGTTCAGACTTGAGAACTCTTAAAGATGTATTAAATGGCTTAAATACTGCGAAAAAGACATTCAGCGCTGCAGTTGCAACAGGAAGTTAGTAACCTTGCTCTAATCTTTGAACACATGTGTTTTATCCCCATACACTGAGAAAAAAAATGTTGGTGGTGAAACCATTTTTACTCCAAAATTTAAAAAAAAATCCGAAAATTTCAAAGAAACAAGTACCACTCTGAATGAAAAATTTGAGAACAATTGAAACTCCAAAAATCAATAAGTTCGAAAAATCTTTTTTTTTTCTTTTTTTTTTTTTAACAAAAGTTCACCCATGAGATATAATGTTAAACATAATTCAAAAATGTGGAATATGTCTTTAAATGGCTGCCCTTTAGTGGTAGGTTTGTTAGTTTGTGTGTGATCGTGCTGTTAAAGCCTGTATGATGTCCTCCAGTATAGCTGTGTTCATATGTTGGTCATGTAATCAGTTACGCACATGTTATTTTGGTGCCCGGGGTATGAGGTCTGTAATTTGGACCTGCAGACCCTGACGACCTACTGAGACCCATCTGTGGTACCAGGTGACCATCTGCTCCATAATATCATATAGCTGTGAGACCAGTGTCATTGCATTACAGTATGATATAGAAAAAGATCTCTAGTGAATGCTAATTGAACATTATTATGAGGGTGTTGAAATTATAGCGCCGGTGACATCATGTGTGTTTACTAAAATTATTAATAGCAGGGATTGAACTACATGGTTATTACAATGTAATTGTACAATGTAATAAGTGTTATAACATGTAATAAGAATTATAGATGTAGAAATAATAAAAAAAGGTAGATATATATGTTGATGGTATTCTAGCACATGAAAAACCATTATGCATAAATGTTCTTGGCAAATAACCAGTTTGTTTTGATCAGACTATCCAGTTCAGGAAACCAGCTGATTTCCTTTAAATGATTTACAGTGACCATTTTTCATACCGTCCCTGTGGGAAGGCAGTGGAACATTGCTGAACCTCGGCACTTTACTGCCGCTTCATCGTAATATAAGAGTCATATGAGAATATGAGTCACATTATATTATGGTTTCATTTTAGCTAATATTTGACCTGTTATTTGCATACTGAATCATTTTAATCTATTGAATTTGCTGTATATGTTTTTTATTCATGCGCACATGTATCTCTTAAATAACTGCGGCTTGTGATGTAACTGAGCATGACAGAAAATATTAGAATGTTCTCAGCATTTTACCAGATCTATTTTTAGAACGGCCACCCTTTTTTATTGCCCAAGGTAAAGTGTGTGATATTGAAAGTGCAGATGGAAAGTTTTCATCCAAGTACACAAGTGGTTTGTCAGCATCCTTCCTCTAAACGTTCAAAGTGTGACATAAGAAAGCCATGGCCTGATCAAACTGTACATCAGATTTGGTTTTGTTTTGTTTTTTTACTTTAATGAAAAACCGAAATTAATACAAATCAAACAATGCTAAAATATTCTTGCTCTTCTGTCCTTAGATTGTGGTTCCCATCAGCATTGTGTGCCTGAACTCTCCAGAGCAGCATGGGCAGTCGGCCCAGTAAAGATCGGCGTGGATCCAGCTCACATGCTGTTCTCTTGGACACGGAGGAAAGCACTGACCTGCTGACCATGGGTGAGTTCAGCACTGCAATACACACTTCATATATGCACAAGGTGATTTCAGAACTGCAGCACTTACATGCAAATAAGTGCAATAGTGAAGCTCATTCAGATGTGCGTATGTATTCACAAGCCAAATTTTATTGACTGTTGCAACTATAGCATTCAGTGGTGCTTTACTAGCACTCATACTTAAGGGTAAGAATTTCAGTGCATAACTTGTCCTACACTGTTATGAACATGAATGATAGACTGTAAATATCTTGTTAAATTTATTGTAAAAAAAAAAAAATACAATGACAGTGTTTTACAGAATGGCAGCTGCATATTTTATGAAGTGATAAAATATTAATACATCAGTTCAATCCACTTGAACTACTAAAATCTGATTTGTAAATTAAAATGTACTGATAACCACCATAATAATACTGGTAGTAAAATAGAAATCCGTCTGATAAATCAGAGTTCATCATAAGTGGCTTGTCCATAAAACATGACCGATACTCGTACAGTATATAGACTTGCACAGGGTCAAACACATGATAAAAGATCAAATGTAGCATAAACCACCCTAATGTACATAACTGATAACATAAATAAGTTTAAGAACCAGTGCTATATAAATAAAATATAATATGTGATTCGCAGGGTTATTATCATTAATGAAAAATGAAACCATAAAAAAATGTCATTAATTAAAATAATCATTTTCATTTTAAGTAGTAAAATAACTAAAACTAAATAAACTAAAATTAAATTATAAAACGTAATAAAAGCTATATTGACATTTAAAAAAGAGACTAATAAAGAATGACAAAAGCACAAACAAAATTACTTTTAACTAAAATTAAAGTGAAAACAGAAAATGCAAAAATAGAATCTAATTCAAAGACTTTTGGAAAAGCCATAGAATTGTTCTCCACCATCAGTAATAAGGTGGCTCATATTTTAACTTACAAAAAGCATTATTTTATAAACATTACATCCATTAAAACTAAATTATATGTAATGTATGTAATTCATACTTCCAAAAACCATACATTTTAGAATTGCATATAAAACAAATGTATAATTTTTCATTATAAATGTTAAGGTACATTTTTATTCTTTAAAAATGATTTTTTTTAAGCATGTGGCTTGTTGAGGTGCTCTATGCTAAACCAACTGGACTGAAAGTGTTATGATCTTTGATCTGCAGACAGTGGTAGATTTGTGGTGGTGTCCCTGTACGACTATCCGCCCAGAGGTCCGGGTGACTGCGCCATCCGAGTGGGAGAGAGGCTCAACATTTTGTCAGAGTAAGTGTGCTGTTGCACAATGGTGCCTCATCACAGGAAGTTGTCTGATCGGGACGATTATCTGATGATATAACGTGTGTTACAGTGAGGGAGAGTGGTGGAAAGTCAGTTCATCGGCCACAGGAAATGAGAGCTACATCCCCAGCAATTACACCGCCAAAGTGTACAACAGGTGAGCTGAACTCACACACGCTGGAGCGCTTTGAAAATCGGCTCTCTCTATTGGTTTAGAGGGTGCATACAGTACATCGTGACATCACACCCACAGTCAGGTGGTCTGTTCAAGTGTGTTCCATAAGTGATGTCAGTTTTAGTTTCTGTAGAGTGGGCTCAGCTGGGTACAGTGTGATCTGATTATCAGTTTGGGGACGTGCTGTACCTACAGTGACCCTGCTGATCGCTCACTCATCACGTGATGTTCTAACGCTCTACCTACTACTCTTTCCTTCAGCTCTACTCTTGATTTTGTCACTCATCTGTGTGTGTGTGTTTGTGTTCGTGCAGGTGGCAGTTTGTGGGTCTCAGTAAACAGAAAGCAGAGGAACTGCTGATGCTCCCCCATAATCAGCCTGGCTCCTTCCTCATCAGAGAGAGTGAGACCTACCCAGGTACACGCGCACTAATAATGGATATATTACCAGTATTTTCCTACAATTTACTGAGTTACTGCAAACATATCCACAGTACTTTGATCAGATGCTTTCTGAACTGCTGTTTTCTCACAGCAACATTCCGCAACAAATACTGTATAGCGACACACTGGAAACTACCCAGAACTACAGAAAATGTCAAATCAAGTTTGTATTAATGCACATGGTTTTTTTTTTTTTAACCCAGGTAACCACACTCTGTCAGTGCGTAAGAGCAGCTCGCAGGAGCGCGCTTCTGTCAAACACTACCGTATCAGCTGCATTGAGAACGGCTGGGTCTACATCTCTCCCGGACTCACCTTCAGGACCCTCTCAGACCTGGTCGCACACTATTCAGGTACACACACACACACACACACAGATACAGCCAGTAACTCATTACTGACACCCAGTGATTGTATGTGATGTTGCAGGGTTTGTGTTTGATACTGATGTGATGCATCAGGGCTGGGCAACTTCGGTCCTGGAGGGCCACTGTCCTGCAGAGTTTAGCTCCAATCCTAATCCAACACACCT